TTGAAGAATTGCACCTCGATTTCTATCTCTATGAGAGATGTTCGATGAATTTGACTGGAAGGGGTGCGACCAGGCTAGATATTGCAAGCTTGGCTTTTACTGATAGGACGTGCCCATTCTCTGCCAGCGCTTATCGATCTTAGCTTTTTCAACGATTCCCATTTTGAGTAAGGAAACAAACTGGTTGATATTCTGAGCGATTGTGTGTGATGAATCGAATGAACAATTCTGCATGCTTTCAGTTTATTGCAGGTATTATTGGCATTACTTTAAAATTTTGCAATTTATAAAAGTTTTAATTTTTAATTCAAAAATTACTGTGTTGTTCGGTGGCCACTTCTTCCTTCTATGCTAATTAAAAAAAAATACTGCAGGGGATTAGGATTCTACTGCAAATTGATTGAAAATAAGCTAATCCGGGATAGGTCAACCATATGATCTCTTACATGTAGAGGTCGGGTCGTGAATATCAAGGGGGATTTTGTATATATTAGACAAAAGAGTTTATTTGTTCTTTTGTTTGTTGCAAATCTGTAAACTTTCCATAAATCTCACTGTTTAATGTGCTTCTTAATTTTTTTCATTTTAAATGCATTCTAAATTTGAAATCAGAACACACCTTCATTCAACTTACTGGTCATCTAATATTTAATTCACCAAATCAATTTAGTTATATCTGTACTACGCTCTTTAAGACGGTTAAGAAAAACTAATTAAGATGACCTCATAAGACTATACAATTAATGAATATAAACGCACAGGAAAACAAACTTGAACTAATTTGATTCCGGCATATGATTTTTTGTTAATAGTTTGTCTCATTACACCATCTTAGAGACGCTAATCTCATTTTACATCTATTTTAAAAGTGTTATCAATGTAATTACGATACTAATGTTAACTTTTATTGCATGAGAAAGTTAATTCAAAGACCTAGCATAAAAAACATGTGTCCTGTTGATGTAATCAAGAATTTATTATCGAAAAAAGAATCAATTCAAGAATGTGAAATGATCTTAGTCGCCGTGTATTTCTTACATTACCTAACGACTCCTTTTTGACCGTTTAGTGATTTTTAAATATTTGTTATCTTCGAATTATATTTTTCTCATTTATTTTTCTTATAGTATTAGATTAAGTATTTAAAAACATTGATCTTCTTGAATGAATCTAACATCGTTTTGCACTGAAAATTAATTTTTTTCATTGAATTATTTGAAATGAAAAGAAAATTGAATATTGCAGGCAATTCTGTGGTAAACATTCGCGACGGAACAATGAGTGAAGAAGAGCTTAAAATGAAAGCTTTAAAAGAATTGCAAACAGCCAAGGATCCTGTGGAGCGATTGCGGCTTCAATGTTTAGTACGTGGGAATGCTGGAATAAAATCCTTGGGAAGGTTTGTTCATCGAAATCTATGACACATAATTTTTTTAAACCCTAATTGAGAAAAAATAAAGTTTAAAATTACTTATAATAAAAATGTTAAAACAAATGAGCGCGACTTCTAAATGAATTAAAATTTCACTTTGTACTTAACTTCCATTGTGTTCAAAATATACATGGCACATTGTTTATGGCTTCTATTGTAATTATCATCACTCCCTTATAAAACAATCATCTTTATTAGATAATATCTCCTTTTTAAATTGTTAATTAAAAGAAATAATCCATAAACTTTATGCTTAATATTTGGAAAAATATAAATTCTTGGGAGGAGACTTTTTTCCTTAATTTCTTGGAGATTTTAATGACTTTGCACTTTCCACTATCCTCGTCTCCCATTAATGATATGTTTTTCTCGTTTATTGAAAGAAGAAATCTAAATGATTTCCGGGCTATATTGGGAAAATGAGGGAAAGTTTCAAATATTTCAATTATATCTTTTACAATAGAATTTGATAATATATTGAAAAAAAATTTACTGATGTAATCGCAATGATCAAATTTTAGATGAAATGAATAGTGTCAATGCACAAAATTGAAAAAAAAATTCAAAGCTAAAATATGTCAAATTCTCTTTATGCAATGCTTTTCCATGTATAAAATAATTTAGTGAATTAATTACAGTAGACATCTACTGAACACCAAGATATGACTAATGACCGACTGGCCAGTGAAATGTTAAAATATTTTTAAATATGTATGATTTTTAATTATTTTTTTTCGAGAATTTTTTTTGGAATAATTTTTAGATCATTTCGGATTATGGATGACAATAATAGTCGCACGCTAGATTTTAAAGAATTCCAGAAAGGTTTACATGATTTTGGTGTGAACTTAACAGATAAAGAAATTGGGGAGGTATTCAAAAAATTTGATAAAGACAGTTCCAGTACTATCAATTTCGATGAATTTCTCGTGACACTAAGGGTATGTTAAGTTTGTTTGTCATGGTTTTGGAAATTTGTGTGAGTGTATAACTGTTACGAATTACGACATACGGTTGAATTCTAGATCTTTAATAATTAAATAAAAGTGAGAAGAAGCATGAAATTTTAATGCACTGTTCTCTAAACTATTTTTATCGCGTTTACTGTGAAAAAAATTACGGTCAAAGATATTTTTATAATTTTTAAACGGGTATAAAAGTCTTATTGTGTGCTTGAATTTTTTTTTATCGATATGTTGAGATCAATTTAAAGGAATATTTAGCAAAAATTTTTGCTAGATCGAAAGCATTAAAAAAACTGAAATCTAATTTAAAGTTGACGAAAAATTGCAGCCACCAATGTCGGAAGCTCGTTTAGCACTTGTCGATGCAGCATTCAAGAAATTGGACAAAACCGGAGATGGCATAATTACGGTAGATGACATGAAAAGAGTTTATCATGCCGGACGACATCCAAAGTACATATCCGGTGAGAAGACTCGTGAGGATATCTTCAATCAGTTTCTCAGCAATTTCGAAATGAAAGGGCATGTTGATGGGAAGGTATGAAATTTACAAATTTGCAATGATGATGTTTTAATGGTATTCAAATTTTCATTTTACTTTTGTATCCTATAATCGATGGAGATGCTGTTATCTGTGACAGGTTCTATCCTTAGGGATATTAGGATATCTTAGATCGTTAATTTACTTTCTAAAATATGTCCTTAAAGAAATCAAACAAACAATATAACACATTTATTTCCCAAATCTCAGGGATAGATGTTAACACTTCCAGTGAAGTTTGTTATTTAAACATGATTAAATTATGAATTAAATTTATGCAACTGAAATATTGCAGAATTTCTATTGCATGCTGTAGTATTAGACTTTAGATTCACTCCGAAAATCCTTTTAATGTTTAGCATATTTGTGTTATATTATCAAATTAAAGGAAATATCTAAAAAGCAGTATGTAAGACAAGTTTCAAAAAATTTATAGCCACTATTAAATGAAATTGGTAATTTACAGCCTTAATTCTTATTTTTTTCACTAAAACGAGAGAAATCAATATGGAATGTTTTTACGACAGTTTGCAATTTAGGTCTTAACTAATTCACACCAAAATTTCGAATGCTTTTTAAAATTTCGTGAATTTGTTGGGATTTTTAATCTAATATCTCATCATTTCAAAAGATTCTAAAATTTTTTTAACTTTTTGATATTTCAAATGCTCAGTGTCATTCACACTCCTAATAACGCTTGTTGCAATCTGAATTTATTTTACTATTTAGTCTTATGAATATAATAGATACTATTTGAACTTCTTGAAGTTATTTAAAATACTTCGTAACAATCTGTTTTATATGATCAACGTTACACTCCTTTTTGAATAACGGTGCGCAAGAAATTATTATTGTAAATATTAAGTCCTATAAGCTTCAGAAAAAGAAAAAAATTTTAACTGCAATTAAACTAAAAATTTTGTACGATAAGCCAAATTTGAATGAAATACAATTTAATCACCCAATATTATCTGTGAATCTTTTGTCTGGCTTAGTGTTGTTATTATTACTTTTTGTTTCAGTTTGGTCACAAATTGAAATATATTTTCTCTTTAGCGAAAAACCGTTAACTGTCAATTTCCGAGATATTTATCATTAGAGAAACGAAATGAGCTTTATTTACTTCCTTTCTGTTACTATAAGCTTTTCTCATTGATAACTATTTTCAGATGCATTTACTTCATGGTAGCTGGTAGGATAATCTGTTAATATGAATTAAAGTTCAGAAATGGCGATAAATTCACGAACAATTGCTACTTAAATATTCAGAGACTTAGAGATGATACTGAACAGGATTGTCATATGAACCAACTTTTCAAAATAAAATGTGGTTACATTTACATAAAACAAGATTGAAAAAGATTAACGCGAGGATGAAAATAATATCCATTCCGATTTTCATTAATTAATTCAAATAGTATCATTTACAGGTGACAAAAGAAGAATTTTTGAACTACTACTGCGGTGTATCAGCTTCTATTGATAATGATACTTATTTTGATTTGATGATGCGAAATGCTTGGAAACTTTGATAAATTGTTATCATTATAATGATGCTCTTTACTGCTTATAGCAGTTTTTTCCAATCACTTTTGCAAACATCATTCAATATATTAATGATGACAACAAATTAAGAAATGTGGAAGATTTTTTCCCTTTCAGAAATCATACTATACTTTATAAAAAATTTTCATTCTTTGTTTCTTCCCTACATGAGAAACATATAAAGAATGACATGCAGATTTACAGATACCCAATTCAAAGTATATGGTTTTATAGAAATTTCTAAAAATTTCGTTTAATTGACAAGGTTATTTATTGTTTTCTTGATTATTAACACAATGATTTCCATTTTACATTTTGAAATAAGGAATGTAAACGCAGTAGTCTCGACAAGATACATGTATTCCACGAGAAAAATGGACTATTTGCTCGAGCCCTTAAGACTGCTTAAAATAAATGTATGAGGATAAAGAAAAACGCAACATTGAAAAGTTATGATCTGACATGTCAGTGTCAGGTGCTATGTAATATTGATCAGAAAAGCTTGATCGTTACCCTTTCAAATCGTTGTTTTCACTGTTAAAATTAGCGACCAATCAGATTCTGTCGCAATTGCTTGAAGTAGTATCTGCAAAATTGTCACAAAATTTATTCCAAATATTTTTGCAGTAGCACAGTTGCTCTTATATGAAAAATGCTAAAATAATTAACCTTCGGTTTGACAAATCTTAGCGGTATTCGCTTAAGTTCCATTAGTTCTTTAACCAATACATTTTTCGAGTTTCCATAGTGCAAATTCATAGCATAAGGTAGTTTCTGCAAAATAATTAATAGTAAATGTCAACTTTTTTACCAAAAGTTTCATAAAAAAATATAATCGATTTATTATTTTCTAGTAAGAAAGTAAAAATTTGAAAAAAAAATTGTCCTTTTATTTTGCTGCTTTCATTATAAATAATATATTCTAATACACTAATTGTAGTGAATTAAAGTCTGTAGCGAACACATTTCTTGAGGTAGTAAATTTTTGCACTCCACTGAAGCGAAGAGATTAGATTAGATTAAAATGCATTGAAAAGATGAAAACTACATTACGACACTTTGAAAATATTGAGAACCTATTGTAAAAAGGCTTCAATAATTTTCTTTAAAATCTCATTCCTGAAACATAGTGAAAAGTACAAACCATTGGACCAGCTATACAAACTGCAAAATAATCACATTTCCAAATGCGTACATCAACTTCACTGCTAAGCTCTTCACCATTCCTCCAGAAATAATCAACTAACGCTTCACTCTCATTCATCATCGGTTCACGTAGCTCTACCCGTCCCATATAAACAATCGATTCAGAAAAGATTGTGAATGAACACGGACAGTTCTGTAATACATTTTATTCTCACTTCCATTATAAAATTCTTGCAATCTCAATTCTTCAAAATGTCACTGATAAAAACCTATAATGCTTGTCCTAAAAGAGTTAACTATATTATGAAGACTTATGATTAAAAGCTAAGTATGATAAAGTGATTTGACGTGAACCTCCTCAATCCAACTAGTAATGACGTTACTGAATCACACTGTCACGTCGGATTTTATTTGTTTTAATTTTAATGAAAGTTTTAGTAAAATAAACAAAAATAGAAAGATAACATTGATCAGATCCAATTGTTCGTTATACCCAACACAAAGCAATATCATCCATGTATCATCCAATGATGGATCATTGTTTGCCTCTATCTGAAGGATATTTAAATCTTTCATAAAATACCATTTGACAACATATGGCTATTTCAACAACTTTCTTGAATCTGCGAAAGAAGTTTTCAAGACCTGATGAAGGGCCATAAAAGAATTTAGCAGTAATTCATCATTTTTAGCTCCAAAATTTCGACAAAGTATGTCCCACTCCTGAAAATGGAAAAAATTTATTATCATCTAAGACCAAAAATTTGAAATTAAGAAGCAACTGCTGCTTAATAAAGAATGAAAATTTGAGTTGTTTATTATGCTTTTTGTTACACCACAAAGTAGCACAATGAATAGATTTTTTTGTTTTCCTTTATTTTATGCTCGAATAGTATGTTCAATAAAAGAAATTTACATTAAAGTTCAATGTGCGTTCATAGTAGTCAAGAATTAAACTTCACAAGAAAAATTACTAAGAATGAAAGATATCCGATTTCGTGGATTCTTGTTCCGTAAAGGCCGACTAAAATTAGTAGAATAGTGAGAATTGTTGATGAGGATATAAGATTCTTGAGAGAAGGTTTTTAATTATTGTTAGATGCAGAGATAATAGTGCTTAAAGTGCATCCTTAGCAGCAGCTCTCAACTTTATCCAATTATATTTTACCTATTACCGTTAATTAAAAAATTGTTATGCATGCATGTTGATATAATCAGATTGTATGCTTACGTGAATGTTTTTCTTACCTTGAATTCTGCAAAATGCATGAGAGATGCTATTAAATGTATATCAGATCAATAATAAAGAAATAAAAATAAAAGTCAACATAATAACCAAACACAAACAACAATAAAACCTTCAAAAAAAGTAATCCTCATAGGAACATTGAAAAAAATCTGTTCCAAAAAAAGTGATCTTTCTCAATCGATCAAACTATCTTCATTTTTTTATTACAAAAATCTATTATTTTGTTCCATTCCAAGTTGAGTGAGATTTAAAATTGCAATATTAGTAAATAATTCAGGCGTAGTTAATGAATAAATATTACCAATTCTCTCATTTTTGTTCTGTAAACCTGCGATCTTGAATGATGTCAAAGGGAATTTTTGATAGAACATTAATGATACGACTGTTTCAGTGTTAGAAGTTGATAAAAAATAGATTAATAAATGTAAATGTAGGAAAACTGGTAAATAAACAAAGAAAAATAGGAAATTGCTCGTACCTGATCCAAAACGTGTTCATCACTAACCAATGTATTGTATATGTCGAATTCCTCTCGACTTAATTTACCATTTTCATCGAAATCGAATAGATCAAACATATTCATTAGTGTCATTCTTAGTTTCAAATTTTATTATAATTTTTCAGTCCTGTTTTTTTTTCACATATGAAGAAAATTTTGCATAAAATTATACGTTCAATTTTCATTTTTATGCTTTCAACTGAAAAAATTTATAAATCATATATCAAGAATGCAAATTTTCAAAAATGAAGAAAAAATGATTTTTTAATTGAAAAATAAATTCAACATCTATAGTTCTATTTGAAGCGCTTAATGTGTAACATTATAAAAATTTAATTCTTAACTTGATAATGAGTGGATTTATATCAAATTTGTTCGTTTTATCCTTCTTCAATAGGACAGATAAACTAATTTACTTGAAATGCTTTGTTAGCTTTCCATCTGAATCCACCAACTTCATTTTATTGCTTGTAGAAGTCGTAAGGCTTTCCAAACAATGTGCCGTTTGAATACTAACTATATATTCTCCTGCTTTCAGCAAGCATTCTTCGCTTACATACTTCTTGAAATTAAAAAAAAATTTGGGAACAGTTAAAAAAATAATCACTGATTGATCAATTCAATAGACGATGATTACCTACATTTCTGAAGAGTTTGCGTAGTTGAAAAATGAGAGCTGTAATATGACAAAAGTTTTTGCTTACTAAAATTTATGTCTCTGAAATGATCTTTCTGCCAAATCATACACAAAACTATTCATTTGCTCAACAAACAGCACTGAGCAATACCAGATATTTCATGATACAAAAATATTCTTTTTTATTTAGAAAAGTTATGATTAGGCATGTTCGTTTTCCGTTGCCAAAATTTTAATTCAGCAATGATAAATTTATATTGCAGTTTGCTCACTTAGCACAAACTTCTCGCCATACATAAATTTTAGCAAACAAAAGCTTTCGTCGCTCTCATATGCCGCTCTCAAATTTTAACTCATGAAGAAAGAAATTTACTTTCACATTTGCAGAAAAATCAATTTGAAATAGAGGTCAGTTACACTGAGAGATAGCTATTATATTAAATACAATACGTCTCTGCTATTTGCTCCATATATTAAAGTTATCCCATGCTAATCAAGCAACTTTTCCGTAACTAAACTTACCATCGAAAATACGATGCAACTATTTTATAAACAATGTTTATGTCGCTCGGACTACTTGTCTATCTTTTTTCTTAAACTATGCTAAGCTACTAACAATTTAGTCTTATGGTATTATCTCTAAGTTAAGACTACATAAAAACAGTTAAATTTTTGCTTTGGCTATGTAAAATTAATATTCTTTTTTCTGAAATACAAAAGATTACATCTTCTAAAATCTTCATTGTAACTGTAATTACTTGCTCCTCGATAGTGTCATAGAGCACAACGTATATATCGTTTTTATAGATCCGATCTGTTGGTTGATCATCTAAACAAATAAAATTCATATGTCGAACTAATTCGAAGTAGCAACTAAACAAGCAGAAATCTCAGTATCTGATGGTTCAAAATTGTCCCACACATATAAATTCAACAATTAAAAGTTTTTGTCATACTTTTGTTTCTCAATTTTTAATCCATATGAAAGCGAATTAATTTCTTTCTGCTTCTCAAAGCTTTCATAATTGCGAAAAGATGTTCCGAAATGTCAATATCCCATCACTTCAGACTAAACGCATTGAAGTTCTTTGAAGTTAATTTGTAAGAATTGTGAAAGTAATGTAATCTAAACCTGACCTGAATCAAAAACTTATGATGAAATAATATGATTGGATGGGATGGAGATGAAATATCACATTTTCACTTTCACAGCTATTTGCACTCATTTAAAATAACTTCTCAAAAATACGATGCAACTTACTGCTTGTCAATAATTCACACATTATACAAATAGTCTGCGATTGATTAAGAATGAAATGATAATTCAAAATGCGATCATCGTTATTCATTACACGGAATGCTCGACGAGTGATCTGCAAAATGATTGAGGAGGTATAAATGATTGTTAATGCGGATGATAAGTTAATAAAATGAAATTGCATAATTAAAAAGGTGAAGAATAAAATAGCTTGATAGCTAGTGTCATATCATCACAGTAATATTTATTAATCAACATCAAATGCAAAAAGAAAACCTGCCAGTTGAGGATCGGTGTGATTAAATTCTGAAGTCTCATTCCTGTAATGATATGAAAGGATTTTTCGCACATACAGAAATTATGAAGATATTTAAAATTTTAAATTATATTTTGAAATTTCATCTCTGGACAATACTTTCAGGTAATTTGTGCTGCAAATCTTTAAATCCTATGATCTTTTTTGGTATTGCAACTTGTTTGCTGATGAATTCCTGCTCAGTAACATCAAGCAATTTGTGTCGACTCTTCTCGAATTCATCGAAAAGCTGCAAATATAATTCGTTATAGTTCATTTTCAACATTTGAATCTCTTCCTTTATTCCTCACTTTTTTAAAAAGAATATGTGAAATAAGAAAATATTTTTAGAGTTCCTCAAATTCCTTCACTCTTTTAATTTCCCTTTTTTCCACCAATTTTCTTATTGACAGCCTTTTTATCTGCTCACACAGATAATTCAATTATCGTTTCATAAATCCTTTTGCAATCCCAGTTCTCTTTCTGATCAAAAGAAAATAATGACGAGAAAATTTCACATTCTTTCATCGGCTATTTTCATGACCTGATATATGTCATTCATTTCAGAATTTCTAGTTCAAGTATCTTCATTTTAGAAAATCGAATATTAATATCATTGCAAAATATATTGGGCACACTCAATATGGGTTTTAAAAATTCTAAACAAAAAATAATTTTTAAAAGTTAAAATGGAATTTTATTATTTTTATAAATAATCTCTGAAATAAGTTCCTATACCATTTTGCAATCAATCTTCCCATAACTTGCAGATGAATGCAAAAAATCCACCGCTGCTTCAATTTCATTCACATTCAATTCTTCATCCTTAAAATTATCATCAATAATTTTACAAAATTTATGATATTACAGTAATTATAAATTTTTCAATCGAAACATACAATTAGCAATACCTCCTTTAAATACGTCAATCAATCATATTTCCTTTTTAATTTCTTCCACTTGATATTCCAGAACCACTCCTTTTCAACAATATTATTAATGAAATAATAGAACTTACTTTCTTTCATTTCTTTTTGCTATGACATTTTTGAAGATTAAAGTTACGAATGCTAAGAATTCTTTTAAATTGAATAATAATAACAAGTGAAAAATTGATTGAATTCAAATCTTCAGTGCAATATTGCATACCTTAAATTTACTGGCCTCTTTTTAACTATTTTCCTGCACTCGACGACCTTTAATTTCTAATGCATCTCTATGAGATTTTCTAATTAGTAAATTTAAACCTCAGACAGGAAACATTTTTACCACGTTCTACAATCAAGTAAAGTTAGAAGAATTAAGTAAGCTGAAATTTGATGAAAGGCGAGGTTATTTTATTGCTGTCGTTTAGATAATTCTTGTATCAACTTTTTTCTTCACTTCCTAATTTATACTCATACAAGTGTTAAACGATTTAAGCATTTCATTATACTTTCTTTTCAGTATTTACTTGGTTTTGTAATTTTTCTTGGTTTGTTGAAAATTTTGAATTTTCCATTAATTTGATAAAAACTTCTGAATTTCAAGATAACTTTTTGACTCCTCAATTAATTAACCACTTTAATTACATCATAAAAAATTAATTGAATAGAAGAAATTTAACTAATAAATGAAGAATGATATGAATTGAAGTTTGGTTTTCAAACCTCATGCAAAAATTCAAAGAATTCTTTCAGTTCAATTAATTGTTGATTTTGATCGGTTCCATTAATACAGCTCTTATTTTGCTTCATTATTTCCAACAAATTTATCACAGATAACTGCTCAAAAACTTCATATGCTTTGTCGAACGGATAAGAGTCTGAAAATGAAGAAAGGTTGTTTAAATTAATCACATCAAGAATGCTCAATTTAGAATTTGTATAGTGATAATTAAAACTGAATTAATTAAATCTTCTTTGATCAGTCATTTGAAAGCATTTTTGAAAATCCTAACTTGATATTGATAGTAAACGATTATCAATGATTTTATTTAGCTGTTTTTAATCAAAAAAATTATTCCGAGTTGTTCTCAATGAGCTTGTGGATTATTGACAGTTTTTACAAGAGTTTTAGTTGTTGAAGAGAGTAATTGTTGGCATTTGAAATTATTCTTTTTTTTCATAAAAATTATCTATTCTTTGCGCTTAAGTTTTTAAAATTTATCTTCTTTACTTTGTAGCATTTATTTAAATTTGAGCAAACGCAGTGACTTTTTTATGCATTTCATAAAAGCAAAACTGAGGGGATCATTACTTTCCTCTTAAATTTGAGTTTTAGTTCTATCGCAATTCAAATCATTTCTGTTTCCACGACAAGAAAGTATTTTTGTGTTCTGACATTAAATCATTCTTTTTCTCAAATATATTTCGAATTCTCAAAACTGACAAAATTACTTGAAAGAAAAAAATAGAACAGCAATAAAATAAATAGATATTTAAGTTTGTGCATTAAAATATTTGTTTGTACATTAAATCGCTCCAACTTTTTCAAAAATAATTTTATAAAATGTTTAATTTGAAATCTTACGATCTTAGAATCATCAGCGGAGGATTTCACATATCTTCATTAGATGCACTTGCATATCTGAATCTTTTTCATTCATAATTCCCCTCAGATTAAAATAAATCTCTTCTCGAATTCTTCCTGAGCAATATAAACTGGCAAATTTTGAGAAAGAAAGCAGCTTTATGAAATTTAAAGTATCAAATAATGACAGTACAATTGTTGTACGTTTAAACATTGAATGAAAAAAAGTCAAAATTTGCTGTTCACATATTTATCAAATCAAATGAAAGACAAAATAATAACAAATCAAATTAAATATGCTTCAAATAGGTCAGTCAAAAGTAGTATCGGAAGGCAACATAAAAAATTCTATTGAATTAGTCAATTTTTTAGATCTAAATCAATTTCGTTAAGCTATAATAAAATCATAAATACTTAACAATAAATTTTTCAAATGCTAATTCTTCAAGACGTTATTAATTGAACTGTTTTTGTGTTCAAATAGAAAATGAAAATACTTCCAGCTCACATTTATTCCATTTAATTATAGCATACCGTGCTATATAAAGTAGTAATCATTTAAGAAATTTTTTTTACAAATTATGCGAATGATAATTTTCTATTTAACAAATCAGTAATTGAGCTTGCAATTACTGATCTATTAAATAGAAAATTATCACTCGCATAATTATACAGTTAAAGTGAATTGTTATGTTTCGTAGCGGGTCATTTTTGGTTGCTGAGTCTGCCGAGAAAGATTTTCCGCCACCGCGATATGCTCAAATGCGCTCAGACATAGTAGCATATTCAGATCGAAATGAGTAATGGTAACTAAAAGTACAAAATACTTCGTCGAATAGCTGCCGATATTAATCTTTTTTTTGTTTCACCTCAGTTTATGATCTTTAAAAATATTTCAGAAAAATAATTTCAATTTATTTTTGATGCTATCATTTTGTGCAGTTTACTTATTACACTTATTTATTTTTTGTAATAATTCATAATTTCAAATTATGCTAAAATATTAATTAACAAATAAAGAACTTATTGAAAGTTTAATAAGAAGAAAGTTTTGAAATTTTCAAACAAATCTCAAATTTCTAAATACTGCATAGTAAGTAATAAGTTATCGGAAGGGTTTCTATTAATCTTCCAGAAATGATACAAGAAGACTGTTGAGAAACAATTTTTCAGAAGTATTTCAAAGTTTCTTGAGCCAAATCATACTGTTACCGAAACATTGGCGTAGAAAGGAGAATAAATAATAGTTTGTGCGAATGAACTTATTTGAAGAAATAAAGTGTCTGTTATTTCCAACTTATTTAAAACGAAAATGCTGTTTGTTCTTTTCTGATCTTTTTGTTGGTTTCAAAGATAAATTTTTCTTTAGTCTTTCTTTCACACCATCAACACTTTAGTCTTTCATTTAATGAATAGTTCCAAAAGTTTCCTCAGTAATGCTTCCAAGTAAACTTCCAAAGCTTTAAAGAAATCTCTGCAGTGGATATGTTTTGCGTTTGTTAGAATTAGTGCATTGTATTTTTTGATTTGTTTTTCCACAGAAAGAAAAAATCAGTAAAAATAGAAAAAGATTTATTAATTAGTTCAAAAATATTCTTTCATACTTCAAAACATTTCGCTATCAAATTTTTATGCAAAGAATGTTAAGGGTTCTAGAGTCGATAATAAGGTTTCCGATTTTAAATAAGGAGACTTTAATTTTGCAGATTTTTTAAAATTCGAATTCTTCAAACGATTTGTTTATAAACAGAGCTTTGTTGATTTATTTAAAAATAAATTACCTGTATCTCCCAGATCAGACATCAATAAATCTTTGCCAGCGGAGATTATAATTTCATACAATTGTAAACGATTCACCTTATTTCGCATATCTCCCACCTCATTCAAATATGCATCCACAAATCGACGTTTTGCATTAGATTGCATTCCTCTAATTTCAATTTCAATTAGATATTGACAGAAGTTCTTCTGAAAAGAAAATTCAGAATTATGATCACATAGGAACAAACTTTCAAAATGTGAAGCAATTAAGAGAATATGTTTCGAATTAAATATACTTTTTCAAATATGTGAAATTAAATTTTTTTTGGAGACAAAAAAGATATAAATAATGTATAAATGCTAAAGTTTTTTTGAAGTTTTTGAATTTTTATTTAATTCAAAAAGTAATTTCTAATTTGCATCCACTACTTATTGATAAAAATCAGAAATCAGAGATTTTGAAATAATTTCTGATTTTCATCCACCACTACTCATTGAAGTTTTCATTTCAAATTTATGTATTCAGTTCAAACAGGATATAGCATCATGTAAATATTAGAGAAATAGTCCATTATTGTATATCACGGATTTTCAATAATGATAAAATTTTTGAATCTTTCCAGTTGAATAATTATTAGAATTAACATAGAAACAATCATTTCAAAAGAATTTGTTCATTGCAACTTTTAGAAATATTCTAATTGTCTATTTAATTTTAATATGAAATCTGCACAAATTGTACAGAAATTAAAGAATTTTATTCACTTCAAAAAATTTATAAAATTAATGAAAAGAATAAAAAAGGAAGTATCGACTGATTTTAGAAATAAATAGCAAGTTAACCAACAACTATAGAAATACGATCAGAACGATGATAATTTTGTAACCATAGCAACTGATATTACATCAAAATCTAGTGCTGCATTAGCGTTTACTAGTAAATAATAAAAATTATTAAATTAATATACAAACTTTTTGAAAACAATTTACCTTTTAAAAACGGAACGTGATGATTCATTCAGGCAAATTTCAATAATTAAGGCCTTGCAATTCTTTCAAAAGTATAAAATTTCTCATTACCACTATTAGAAAATAGAAGTAATAGGTAGGTTTGTTCTTGAATAACATTATTGATAAAAAGTAACACAATATGCATGCAACTGAAAAGAATATTGTAGATCCATTGATATCATTCGGATTCACTGATGTCTCTCGGATCTTTTTACATTGTTAATGAATATGTTTTCTTAAAACAGAAGGGGCTAAAATCGAATGTATGTCTGTGACGAAAGGTCATATTTTGTTCACAGGATAATGTTCTATTAAAGTACTTCAACATTTCAGCAATTCCAAAAGTGATTTGCTCCACTTACTCAATTTTTATCTTCAACCATGCTTATCACAAACACTGTCACAGTTTAGTCATTTACTTTATCTGATAAGCCTTTCTACACATTTAAATTATGCATTATTGTTTAAAATTTCATTCATCAATAATACGAATAATTTCGCTTTGTTACATTGTATAATGCACGGTAAATATGGAATTAAAACGTAAACTTCCGTAATTTTTTAGCTCTTCGTTTCTCGAATTTTCTCATCAAAGATTCAGAGAAAGTAATCTTTTGAAGTTGAGCTGCAAAACCAAAATGTTACAACAAATTTTCTTTTAGACGCTTTGAATTCCAAGAATTATTGAGAAGGATCATATTCGTTTTGCATGATATTTATTCATTTTATATTTGTAAATATATTTGTATTTTAAATATATCCGTTTTGCATGATATTTATCCATTTTATATTTGTAAATATATTTGTATTTTAAGGAATACTTTACGATTTCAATATAGTTTTATCCTGTATACTTTAAAGTGATTTGTTAAAATCATCTGTTCCAAATTTTTGATGCTTATTTGAGAGCGATCCGAAATTCTCTTAAAGAACAAAAAAAAGCTTAAAAACAGTGAAAACGATTTTTTTTAACGGAGAGTTCTTCCTATCGCATAAAGAAGCAAAATTTTTCGTCAGTATTTTCGACGTTTGATATAACATTCGAAGCTTTATAATAAACAGTCTCAGATCCCTAAAGATTACTTATTCTAGATCAAAGACAATATTTAATGATCTTTTTTGAGGGAAGAACTAGCCGAGTATCAGAAAAATGCACTTTCAAATTCTGCATGATTTAAAATTAAGTATAATCAGTTATGAATGTGGTATTATCTAATTTTTTATTTTATATATTATTTGCAAATGCTTTAAGTAATATTTGAAAAATCTTTCCTACTGTTGTGTGAATTTAGTTTGTGCGTAAGTGAATGATGTATTTCAGAGAGTGAAATGAAAAAAAAAATAGTTACCTTTGAAAAAAAGACACTAAAAAATTTTAATACAAATCTGACTTCAGCATCATTAAACGTTTTTTTTGGATAAAATTAAGAATTCAGAACTTTTTATATTTAATCTTTTTTATAAAGCCAATATGTAGAGGAAATCACAAAATTATATACAATTTTTGCACACTTTCACAAGGTATTTTATTTAATTTACAGTAAATCTTTAATAATCATCTTATTCGACCGAACATATTTAATTCCTTTCCCAGTATTGTGAAATTTAAATTGCATTTAAAAGATTTAGGATAATATCAATCCATTTAATATTACAACAATTGGTATGATAGTTGAAGATACTTCTGCTACTCAATCTTCTAAACCATTCATTCTATTAACTACGAAATGGCATCAAGCACTGTTTTTCTTGTATCATTCTTCCAATATTTCGAATTTTTAGTGAATTTCATTTTTCCTATGCAGACTTCGTCACAACAGATTTTCTTAAAAAGCAGTTTTTTTGGAAATTCCAAATAATTTGATACGATGCAAATATTTATGCTTTTATTTGGAAATTATTAATTAATATAAGAATAAAAAGGATAACACTGTCTGACAAAAAAGAAAGTTAACTCTTCACATCGAAACTTCTCTCATTTTATGATTTATCCCATTTCTACTATGACAAACTTTGAACTTTTGTTTAATGTCAATCAATATTTCACAACGTTGACTTACATGAATTCAAAGTTCACCACAGTTGCACAATAAAATGTTAATTATTCGTATCTTGATATGTACAGCTTTTAAACTTTTTACTAATCAAAATACTTATTAGTGAAACAAAAGCTTTAGCTGTTCAGAGCAGTAAAAGTATTCTTGAGCTTGTCATTTTTCTTCGTTCGAAAAAGTTCAAACTGTAGAGCGAAAGTAAATTTCATTGTTCTAAACGATGTAATTACAAATGATCTTCAAGATTATTTGCAATTAAGATAATTAAGTCAATTTTGAAGATTATTTAATTAAGATAATTAAAAAATATAGGGTATAACTCAAGAAAAAGATCAGAAGAACTAAAAGTTGAAATATTGCTGTTTAATTTTTAAATCTACAACATTTAGACACAATTCCAGTTTAAAAATTTCCTTAATTTTGATATCTCTCAAAAACTTTAACTGATTTGCAGAGAAGAAGAAAAAACAGAAATGGCTCTTTTCTGGTATTTTTAATCATAAATTTCTGAGGAGTTTCGCTATATATTTTGGTACGTGCATCTTAGAGACTATCTAGACCAATTAATTTAATGGTCCACTGCGCGAATTAAGAACAAAAAGAATTTGTTCTTACTTTCGAAAAGAAAATCATCTTTACTCGTAGTTTCTTGATTTTTTGATTACTGAAAGTTTGATTTCACTTCTTATTTGTTTTGCTGACCATGAAATTTTATCAGAATAAAATTTTTTTATAGCTAAAATCTTCCGATTTTACAAAAATAAAATAAAAACAAAAAACATCATTGATCGAAAAGGCGGACACATTTCAAATAATTTTGGAGGCACATTTATGACTACCATAAATTCATCTGTCAAAATTGTCATCAGTTATTGAGATAGAAATAGCCCATTTTTCCCGTTTGTTCGATGAACAAATGGAATGACTCTTTGCTTGAAGCATAGGTCTGATTGTTTAATTTTTGATTATTTAAGAAATTTGAACTTATTCTTAACTGATGTTACTCTGTGCTAATGGATAGTATTACGAGAAATTTCGTAATTTAAGAGCGCGCCATCTCTGTTGCAAAGTTGTTTTGCTTAAATCGATACTCATTTTTAGATGAACTTAGGAGTAAATTTTTAAAGTTATGGATAGGATAAAAGGTAAAGAGACTTATCATAAAGTTCAAGTGCCAATCAGTAGTCTATATAGCTGCACCAAAGAAGCTTTTCACAGTTCAATTTTAGATTTATAAAATAATTCAAAGCAAAGGAACATATAGAAAATGAAGAAGAAAAACGCACTTATTCAATATATGAATTACTTTCGATATCATTATTTTGTAGCTATGAGATGCTTTTGCTATTACTATCAATTTAATGCTAGAAATACTGTTCACCTCAAGTGATGCATGTCGTGAATTTTTTCTGAAGTGTGGAGATTGATGTCAATTAATAGCCAAATATCACCAGTGTGTCTAGGAGATTTAATTGTTGAGTTGGTCAATCAGCTCCCAAAGATACGCTGAACTGGAGCGAGTCGAATTGCGTTGAGTTGTGTTGAGTTGAGATCGCTTGTGTTGAATTGGTGTGTTGAGTTTGCTGAAAATTGCGTAATTAAACCCGTAGCAATAATAAAAACGCAATATTAAAACATGAAACAA